CCCCCCCCGCCTAAACAGCAATCGTTTATTGATTTTCGTCAACCTCTACTTCGATATAACTCAACTAATTAAATAATTTCATTTGCGCACGCTGGTTCAGTGATACTCCCCTCAACCCGCCCCCCCCCACATCCACCGCGGTCTTCGTGCCTTGTCACCCCCTAACTTTGGCCTATTCCCAATTTGGGAACTGCATCGACTGGTGCTACCCATTAGGTCTACCCAAGGTTCTTTCTTTTCTTTCTTTCGATAAACCAGATGCCTCAATTACCTAGATGTGCCTATTTATTTCCTTCCACTAAATTCGATTGCACTCGAAAATATTGCTCCGAAGGATGTAAGAAATAGTTGAAATTATTTGAAAACCGGAAACAATAAGTGAGTTAAGCAAAAGACAAGGAGTTGATCAATCACAAAGGTGAATCTCGACTCAGAACAAGCCTCACTTCCTATGAATTCGTTTTCCGTAAGCAAATGTAATTAGATTTAGAATAATTGCAAATCTTTGCCTAATAGATACACGCTGTTCACAATTTAGAAGTACAAAGATTGTTTGTTGAACAACTGCGGAGAATGAGAGAAGTTTGAATAGGAATTTAAAATGGAAAGGTACGAGAGCGAATTCCCCCCCCCCCCCAAGAGCGTTGAACGGGAAGTAAGCCTAAATTATAATTAGATATTTCGAGTGAAAATCGATAACAGATGGTCATGAGGGCAATGAGCACCACTGACCATGTAGACGTTAACGCTTCGATAGCCTCATAGCGTTTAGGTGCTAAATTTCTCTGAAATTGCTTTTGTTTTTTTTGGCAGGTTCGAAGTATAGGGATGAATTCTCCGAGACTATATTGGAGCTTCAGGAATTTCAGGAGATAGAGGAGATTCGACGCTACTGGTGGCGGAACTTCAGTATCGAGGAGCCCTGTGAGAAGCCCGTCGCTAAGAGCACCAATGCGCATTCCCTAGGACATGAGCAGATTGGGGGGTGTTTCGTAATGTGCCTAATTGGCCTTGGCGCCTCTCTCTTGATTAGTCTTCAGGAATTCCTCTACAAAGCTTACCATCGATCTAGAATTACCAAGGTATATACAAGATTTATTTCGGTTTAATCATTACTTCAGTCTCAAAAAAAGTCAAAATGAAATTAGGGTATGGAATTCAAGACTAGACAAGCTGTGTTCTGAAAGATTTGGGGGACATTTGTAGGAAACGAGATCACAATGGAGGGAGGGTCAATTATTTAGAAATTGAGAAAAAAACATTAAAAAGACAAGAGATCTAGCATAAGAAACCACCGTGGAAAGAGCTAGCTCACAGCAATCTAAGTGGGATTCTTACTGATGACTTTCAGGGACGTAACGTGGTGGAAGAAAGTAAATTGTCACCGTCAATTGTAGGAAATGGAGACATTACGATGCTTTATTGAGAACCGTCACTTGAAAACACGCAACTGTTCTGCAATCAATGAGATCACTGCATTGTCTTGAGTGTGGCGAAATTTCAAAATTGGAGTACCTATTGATTCTTTTTGCCTTGGGCTCGAAGACGTTGACCATGGTTGACGAGTTGGTTAAAGAATAATGGTCGAATAGCATGCATACTTAAACAAATGACAGGCGTTATGTTAGTTATCATTAGACCTTTAGCTGACTTAGGACTCCACAGAGGGGAAAAACATCATAGTGAGAAGAATTCGAGAAGGGGGGAGGGACAGAAGAGTGTTTTAAAGATGTAAAGAGACAGACAGACAGTTAGACAAAGGTAGAGAAAAGGTAAGATGAGTACTATGGAAGTGGTGGAATATGACATGCAGTCGGGTCATAATAGTTTAAAGTCAGAAGTCAACTGCCGAATAAGAGACTTGTTTGCCGTATGAGTACACGTTGCCCAGGGCGCACCACGTGGAGTAGCAAGTCTATCACGCACCCCTTAAACAGGAAGTAAGACGCTTTGTCTGAAGAAAGCACAGAAATTTAGTGATATTAAAGCTCTTTGCGGCAGGCGAATAAAAATATCCGCCCATTTTGAAGCGTTTCAGTATTTGTGAAATAAATATAAACTTTTGTCTTTAGCTTTAATTTTAGCAAAAAATCTAAATACTACAAAATTCTTTTAATAAATCGAAACTCCTAATTCATAAATGAAATTTAAATATAAAGTTTCTTGAGAGCGACATTTCTTAATTATCTCGAGTTTTTACGATCAATAATCCTCCCCCCCCACCTGCCTATTGAAATTGTCCTGTTCTGGTTTGGAAGGCGGTTTTCTAAAGGAACTGGTTTGACACTCAGACACTACTTCCTCGCGAGATCCCTTTGAACAGAACCTCAGGAATAAGTAAAATGTCTTTTTTTGAGGCAATTTATTTAAAACAAAACATTTTTGGCTAATCAAATAGTATTTTCTCCCAGACACTAAGGAATTTTACTTATAAGAGACACCACACACCACTTCTTCATGTTCACGGCCAAAATCGGGGTAGAAGTCAAGACGATACAAGAGTGCTATCTCATTCTGTCCCTTCAAACACAGTAGATGGCCAAGGTTATATATAAGCGAAACATAAATTTCTTACTATCGAAATATCGGGTAAAAGTTTAACTTGAATTGGGCTCAAAGAAACCATATTTTTACTACTATCAAATTTTGGATCCTTATCTCATTTTGAATATTCACTTACCTAGGGTACTACACCACAAGATTCTTGTCTTCTCATGCTTTCATCAACATAACACATGTGTCGCAAAAAAATTGATCCTATTCTCATTTTCGATAAACATATTTGTCATTTGCGCACTTATCTAACAGATAATTCGGAATGGCAAACCTCTTCGGTGTTTCAATTGAAAGGCCTTCGCTGTTCCCTTATCTCTTGGTGGTTGAAATAATTTGAAAAAACATTCAAGAATGAGTAATAACCTCAAATTGTGGAAAAAGTGGGTTGACCCGAATTATACTTTTTAATCATTTTATGCCTACCTTTTAGCGTTCATTTTGTGAAGAGGTTGCCCGAGAGTTCCGATTCTCGATGGCCTGTTCTAGCACTCGAGATTTTGGCGCTGAATCGATCATACCACTTCCTCCACCATCGTCTCGTTGTGCGCCTAGTTCGAAGGAGTGCCGAATGGCTGCTCTGGCATACGCTCCCTGCCTGCCCGCAGCAGACCGCATTTTAGCGAGTGCCAATGCTGATGCTGCAAGAAATGGACGACCTACATTCAATAATCAATACTCTCCGAACATTGAGGTCATTCGTTTGACCACTCGAATGCCATCTACAACTACTCCCAGTGTTACACCTGCATCCGTTGGTCACAGCCCAGGTGGTGTGTAGAAGTTCATTTGCAATTAATATGATTAATTGGACATCAGTAGTTAGTTTTAATTATCTTCGATTTCGACGCTAATATTGGTAAGGGGGGTTTCATGGAGGTTGAAATGAACTTAAAGCCTGCCTGAAGCCTCTTAAATATCCTCTGTTAATGATATTTCCATAATTTTGCTAGTAATACTTAAAATTTATTTAATTAATGGTCGTGATTCCACCTAGGTAATACCAGTATATATATTGTCCCTGTCAAGTGCTAATACGTACCAAAAGTATGATTATAAGCTCAAGATACCGGACCATCAAAATTCTGGGTATATCGAGTGTTTTGTCCTGTTTTCATGGAAGATATGAACCAGCAAGCAGCATCATAGTGGCAAGAAATTTGAATTTTGGAATATGATCCTTACTTTACTGAATCATTTCGCGTTAACAGTAAATCGAGCTTTTTGATCAATAACATTTCAACATTGGGTGATGACAGTATTTATTTATATCAGATGGCAGGCGTTATGATAGATATCATTAGCCCTTTAGTTGGCCCTGCTTCACAAAAAGGAAGAGGAACACCAAAGTGGCAAAAAAGAATTCACAGAGGGTAAAGAACATAAGAGTGTCTCAAAAATGTAAAAGCGACAGATACAAAGGTAGAAAAATGAGTATACGTTGTCCAGGGTGCACCACGTGGAGGTAAATCTGTCGCACACCCCTGGGAGCTGAAAGTAGCACATCAGTTGTGGCTGGAAACTTCGGTCTCAACGAATTCCAATTTTTCATTCGCCTTAAATTTGAGAAATGCTTATTACATCTGATTTGTCAGGAAGCATGTTAAACTACGAAATTTATTGCTGATAAAATTATAAATGCGATGTCATTTTCATAACTTTGAAAATTGAAAGGATCTAAGCATGTTTGGCCCCCATGTCAGTATTGTCAAGGGGATAGGTAGCTTGCAATTGACAGTTGATGTTTCTGGTTAATCAAAGTTGATCCCTGCGAACTTATGAATTCATATCAATTAACATTATTATCTATTTGTTTGGATAAGTATTAATAAAAATAAAATAAAATAAATTAATTAATCGGCATTGCGTTTTGACGAGCTTTTTTATAAACAATAAAGTGAATATTTTTATTTTAGTATAAAATATATTGTGGTAGAGAGCTCGAAGTAGGCATACGTCTTAATTCTGTCAGTTTTAAACATACAAATTCAGTAATTCATCAAAAAACGCAAAAAACAAACAGTATATATAGTAAAACGTGGAAAGTGTGTACAAGCGTCATGACTGCACGGGTTTGCTGAAGTCTCGAGTTTCACCAAACTATTTGAGCAAGGAGAACAACCATCTCTCAACAATCTCTCCAAAAGATGGAGCGCTAAGTGCTGAGTACCTGGGGGGGGGGGAACTTGATGTGGCTACCACAGACTTGGTGCATTTGGTGAAGATTGCTTATCTATGTTAGTACAAGCCAAAAGAGTGCACTTTTAGAGAGAATGCGGTTGTAAAATCATTTTCAGGAAAATTATGGGAATTAATTCCTTCATTTAATGTGCTCTTATGCGCGCAAGATAATGAGCAAATGAAGGAGATATAAAATGGCATATCCCGATTTAAATGTTTTGGATTACTTATTTATATACAGTTTTAGACTTTTCGAAAGTTATTATTATATCAAATGGAGGCGTTTTGATTGTTATCATTAGCCCTTTAGTTGACTTCAGTCTTCACAGAGGGGACGGAACATCAAAGTGTAAAAAATTCAAGAGGGGGGGGGGAGGGTGGACAGAAGAGTGTACCAAAGACGAAGGTAGATAGGGTGGAAAAAAGTTGGGATGAGTACTGTGAAAGTAGTCGAATATGACATACAGTGGGGTCATGGTAGTTTGAAGTCAACTGACAGTTGATAGACTTTTTGCCGTATGAGTATAAGTTGCCCAGGGTGAACCACGTGGAGGTAAGTCTATTACACACCCCAACTTTTCGAAAGTTATCATTAGCCATCTAGTTGACTTCGGGTTTCACAGAGGGACGGAACTTCAACGTCACAGAAAGCCGAGTGGGGAACTAAAGAGTCACTCACGTGTGTAAAAGGGACCAATACAAAGGTTGAGAGTAGGGTAAGGTGAGTATTGTAGAAGTGGTGGAATTTGACAAACAGTGGGGTCGTGGTTGTTTGAAGTCAGAAGTCAACTAGCAGTTTAGATACCTTTTGTCGTTTGAGTACACGTTGCCCAGGATGAACCATGTGGAGGTAAGTTTATCATGCACCCATGTTATAGATCATGAAATACTACATATAGGACTGCAGTTCTGATCTCATCAGTGGTTTCCCGCTTAATGGCTAGCAGTTATAATGGCGCTTTCACATGTGTTTTCATCAAGCGAGATAAGTCCCAAAAAGAGAATATTTAAGTAATATTTCTCTCCTATAATATAATATCTTGAAAAGCGGTCTAATAATTTGCATTTTTAATATTTCATAGAAGTTGATAAGGAGCGGCAATTTGAAGAAAATGTGGAATCTGAAAGTAGTGACACATTAAGCAGTCCGCCAATTTACAGTCGACCACCATCGATGACAAGGGAATCAGTGTTGCCAAGCCCACTGTCATATCATCCACCAATTGCAGAGATGGACCCTCAACGACGAGCCTATCCTTCCGAACTCGGCTACTACGGCAGTCAAAATGACTTCCGTGTGCAGAAATTTTCGTGTTGATATTGAAGTTAACGCAGTATATTGTATTATTATTATTATTATACGATCGATGACTGAGTTATGATTGGTGGAATACAAATCACAAAACTCATCAATACTTAAGTAGTACGTTACTATTATTTCAGCTATGAAGTATGAAAAGGAGGGGGTGGGGGGGGGGGGTTGGTTGAAACTCTCTGTCCAAGGAAATACATGCATAAATGTACACATTTCGTGCCGAAATCACCTGAATTGAGTGATAATTTGCGCATCACTTTTGAGTTAGAGTAATAGGAGTAGAGTTCACTAACTCATGAATCCGTTAATTTCAAGGTTGACGAATCAGAGAAACAAAAGAAGCTCCGACAATGGACGACAGCCAATAGTAGTGATCAGAAGTTGTAGAAATAGATAAAAGGAGTTTTGTAGGTCAAAGTTTGAAGGTTAGGGGCTGAAGGGAAGCGCACGGACGGACCTTGTACGAATCACTTGGGAAAGGACGTGTGGGGTTGTGGGTGCAGTGTGCTTCTAGACGAAATGTAACAATCATGCAAAGAAAGGAGAGTCAATAGAATTTTGGAGAGCAATGCACTTTCACAGGGCATGTGAATAAAGTCTCATTTTAGAAAGTGCATAGTGTCATCCTTCAGGTCAACCATCTGCGATTTTGTGGTTCCTGCTTTGAGCAGTCTCTTTCTCTCCTCTCTCTCTCTCTCTCTCTCTTTGAAGTCAAAACAACTGTATTGCATTCCATAACATAGGATTTAACCATAAGCTAGAAAAATGAGCAAAATTCGTAATATTGGTATTTGGAGATAAGAAGACTGACCGACAATCTAATCATTATTTGCCCCTTCTACCTATCCAGCTGTCTGGCTGGCGACCACGATTTAAAAAAGAGCTGTAAAAACTGGGCGACTTACAGGCTTCGTTCGTTGGCACCTTTTTAAGTTTGAAAAGCTGATTCTAATCCGGCCTTTATTCTTTCGTCATGCAAAACATTTAGAGTAAATTTTTTGTTTGTCAGTTTGTGTGCGAAAATCTGTTCCTGCTAGTGTATTCCGAATATTCCCGAAGATCAAATTAACAATATTTCACCCTTTAAACACTATATCAGCATCAATGAACGGAGTTAGCTTTGAATGTCAGATAATTAAATTTATCACAGAAACATGATATATATTGAAACTCTCTCTCTCTCACACACACACACACACACACGTCTGTACAGAGATGTACCGATGCATTTACAATGCATTTTAAAGTGCTGATTAGTTGTAAAGCCAGCGATATGAATGAAATTACTTTGTTTGTGTCTAAGTAAATATTAGAAAATGGAAGTAACGCTTATATTTGACGTGAAAGGTAGTTTGATGATCGGATAAGATGTAAAGAGGAACTACTCTGTAGACATCATGGTCTAAAGATACCTTTAACGGGGGGGGTGACCATTTTTCTCATGAACGCAAACCCAAGATAAGAGAGAAAGTGACAACTAGCCTGATCTCACAAATTGTCGAAGTTAGGTCGCACCTCGGTTTTCCATCGTCTTATTTGGTTTGTAGGCAACCTATTTCGGTATTTATTCACTGACCTAGTTGACCACAGCAGCAGATTCAGCCAGACCAAACAGGTTTGTGCCCCTAAAAAAGATGTTTTAATTGTGTTAATCGCTTAGCCAATCAGAATCAATAGATCTGCATCCTTCAGATGTATCCAACTGATTTATCTTATTGTGGTCAAAAAATGTCCTTTCTATAAACTGATGACTGGAAAATCCTTATTGACCCATCTCCAACTCAACGTCATTTCACTTTTCAATCACTAGCCAAAAAAGTAATACTAATTTGTTCTTACTTTATATATTTATTTATTTATATCAAATGGCAGGCGTCTTGATGGTTATCATTGGCCCTTTAGTTGCCTTCAGACTTTACAGAGGGGAAAGAACATCAAAGTGGAAAAAAAGTCGAGAGGGGGGAACAGA